GTGCCATTGGCACAGTAAGTAGGAACTTAACGAATGAAAAGAAATAGGTTTTTAATGTTATTAAATTTTTATTTTTAAATTAAATTAAAATTATTAAATTTTAAATTTAAATTTTTTCAATATATTTTTTATGTTATTTCATTTTATATTATTTTATTTGATTTATTCTTATTTTATTTCATTTCATTTTATTTTATTTTATTTTACTTTATTTTACTTTAATTTATTTTATATTATTTTGTTTCATTTTGTTTTAATTTTTTTTACTTTATTTTGTTCATGTTAATATTTTTAATTTCCTTTATTTTATTTCATAATACATTTTTTCATTTTTATTATTTTTATATTATATTACTTTTCTATGTTTTATTTAATTTTTTCTTTATTATATTTTATATTGTTTTAGATTATTTATTGTTTTGTATTACTTTATTTTATTTTTATTTTATATTATTTTATTATATAATATTTATATTATATTAGTTTATTTTATTATTCTTTATTTTATTTTACTTTATTTCATTTTATTTTATTTTATTTTATTTTATTTTATTTTATTTTATTTTATTTTATTTTATTTTATTTTATTTTATTTTAGTTTATTTTATTTTATTTTATTTTATATTATTTTATTTTATTTGATTTTATTTTATTTTATTTTATTTCAATTTGTCATGCAATTTTCAATTATTTTAAATATATTATTGTATTTTGTATATTTTATTTAATTTTTTGTTGTTTTATTACATTGCTTTTTTAATTTTTATTTTGCTATAATTTACTTTTAAACTGCATTCTTTTATTCCTTATATATGTACTATTATATTTTATTTTTATTTTCTTTAGTTTATTTCATTTTATTTTATCCGACTTAATCTAACTATTTCATTACATCCTTTTTCATTCCATTTCATTTTTTTTTTTATTTTATTTTATTCTTTCATATAATTTTCCAATATTTTGTTTTATTTAATTTTTCTCTTTTTCATTTTATTATTTAAATTGTTATTTTTTAATTTGATTTTTCTTAATTTATTTACTTTATTTTATATTATTTCATCTTTCCCTTTTTTATTTTTATTTTATTCTATTTTATTAATCGCAAGGCCAAATTAATTAAATTTATGAAATATCGTTGTGAACCATTAAAAGCTCTCACTGTTACATTGAGCTTTGGCGCAAATATTCCTTTTGATTCTATCGTTTTCATTTAATTTCATTTTCATGAATTACTTAATTACATTTAACTGTAGCGCTCTTTTGTTCGTTTATTCGTTATGTAAACACATACATCCCAAATCCATATATACATATGTATGTACATATATACGAGCATGTAACTGTATGTATGTCTAACTAATTACATTTATGCTTTTACGTCTTTTGTGGCGAAAAATTTTCCTGCGTTAATTTTTTGTTTGCCACATTTTTTTCATGTGTACGTTTGTTTTTCTTTATTCAAGACATTGTTGCGGTAGTACCCACCAATGCAATTACAATTACACCCACCCACACACCAGACACATGCACATACACATTTGTTATTACACTCGCACTTAATAGCTTTCATTCCATTATTTGATTCTTATTTTACTTATTTTTATTTTTATTTTTATTTTTGTTTGCTCTTTTTTATTTTCCACTCAATTGGCATACAATCTCACAAGTGCACACATTTTTGTTTTTGTATTTAAATCTTATTAACTTTTTAATGCTTTTTTTGTTTTATTTTAATGTGGTATTGTTACTTTTTGTCTGCAGTATATTTTTGTGAATGTATGTATGTTTTTAAGTTTATACTTATATATGTATGTATGGAATTGTATGCACATTTGACCGACATTCATTGTTCTAAAGTGCTTAATTGATTATTAATAAAGTAATAATTACACTAACTATGCAGTTAATACATATGCCTATGAGTTGTGTATTCATATTTATACATATATTTTAAATAATCTGTTTGTTTCTTTTTATAATGACTAATTTTTAATTCGTTGAGCTTTTTTACACTTTCTTCGAAATCAATTGAATATTGAAATATATTTTTGTGTTTTAAATAATATTAAATTGAACAATGAAAATAGTTGCTTAGTATAAAATTAACAAAATATTCCCAAATGGTTTTGCAATTTGCGTTGCGTTTGAGTTGAGAGGAAATGGGAGAAAATTTTCCCATCGAGAATAATGCAAACGGAAGCCATGCAAAGCTGCTCCTATAATTAAAATAGTCATTGCTTTAATTCTTTTTAAAAGAAACCCAGTATTAAAAAGGTGGAAAAAAATAATATTTTGCATACAGTGGCTGCTGTGGACCAACTTTTTAGCTCTGAGACAGACAAGTGGAAAAATGTATCGAGGAAAATAATGAATTTTTTTTGGTTTTAGATTTTTAGGAAAGAGTGTATGCAACAACTAGAGCTGTAAGTATCGAGTAGTGGGAGCAGCGTAAAACTCACTTGATACTTCTTCGCCGCCCAACTCAATTTTTCAGTTTCCATTTATGTTTGTCAAAAATTTTGCATAATCAGTTTGAAATTATAGGAAGAAGTTCTGAGAAAAAAGTAAAAAACTATGTTCAAAATGCTGAAAAAGCACGTATTGGAGATCGAAAATTGTCGACCAATGAGAAATGAACGAAATGTTTAAGTTGCCCGCAAATATTCGAATAAAATCTATTAACAACACTTGTAGGATTCCGAAAAGCTTTGTATAGTTGACAATTGTTTTAGCGAAATATCTTCTGCTTCGCACGTTTAATGCCTTGTTTTTATTTGACATCAAGCATTCTTAGATTTTACAAAATAATTTTTGAATAAAATGCATTCAATCTTCATTTCCCCACAAAAAATTACATTAATTCGCAACTGAATCTTCGATTTGAAAATTTCAATTTTAGACTAGCCAATTGGTTATCAGAAAATGTGAATATCAAAATCAAATTAATTCATGCTTTAAAGATGTGCTTACTTTTAAGATCTTCTGAGTAAAAAAAATTCTTTTAACTACTATGAAATTCTGCTCATCATTCTGAATAATATTTACTTTTCAAAATTCTAACTGAAAATTATGCCGTTTACTTTCCAATCAGATATTATTAAATTGCTTCCAACGGAGTTCAACAAATTTTCTTCTTACCTTTTTAACAACATTTAAAAAAAAATGCTCTTCATCATTATCATGGCAATGTCCCAAGGAAAACAAGATTAAAAATGTCGAATGTGGTCATTTAGTTCAGCACAAACTTGGTTGGTTGAAGTGGTTGCCAGGCATCAGCCTTAGGTTCAGGGTTTTTTTTCTTCTCTGCAACTTATGCAGAAACCATTGGATGGTAAGCTCAGTTCTTCTGCATGCCTGCCGAATAGATCATGCCCTATAACCTTCTGCCGTTCCATTTTGGCCACATTACATGTAATTAAACTTTTCCATCTTTAGCATCCTTAGCGAATAGCTTAAAGATAGTCATATTCGAGCAAAGAGCCAAAACTAAAATGCTTTAGGAAAAAACAAACAGAAAACGCAGAAAGACAAGTCAGGTGAGTAAGTTGGGTCTTTAACAATGAGGGAGCAGAATTGAGAAAACAAATTATTTATAATGAATAAAGTATTAATTTATATATATTTATGTTTGTTATCAAAAGTCCTATATTTACACATTTCTGGTGGAATGAAGGGCTAGTCATACTCAAAATTTTTACTCAAAATTTCCATATTTTATCAAAAATTTTTTAATTTCTTTTTTTTGGCAAAAAAGGCATTATTGCATTTTTTCATTCAAAATGAAAGAAAATTAATTTATGAAATAATCTTTTGTAAGTTAATGCATTTTAATGGTGTTAATACACATTAACGCTATCGTCTGGCATATATGGTTATGTTACTAAATTAAACGATACTCTTAGCTTGTGGCAAGATGTAATATATGCACCACTACACTTAAAATCACTTAATTAAAATTAAAAATTAAATATCTTGTTGCGGCTGTTGAATTAACTTAAGCTTAACTAATTAAAGGTAACATAAATAATTTCTTACACACATATACAATACTTACATAGATGAATTTATTTGTATATTTACATAGTCATAAACATAGTATATTGTATTTTCTTTATGCATTTGTAGAGTGGTTTTGAGTGTCTGTTTATTAATATTTATGTAAGTATGTATATATGTATGTATGTATGCAAGCATGTATGTGTGTTTTTATGTTTGTATGTTTGTATGCGTGCATGCAACAAATTGTATGCGTGCATATAACGATAAAAATCATCATCATTTATTATTAATTTTAAGTGCATTTATATATATTATATATATACATATACATACATATACATATGTCTGCTTACATGCTTATATCATATAATTTCTTTGTATTTACTATATTATATTTATTTACGCTTACGCCTTTGTATTGCATTAGTGTTTCTATTATAAACGCGTATTTTTTTGTATGCAACATACATATATATATATATTATATTATACTTTTATGATTTATCTTAGTATGCGTGTGATCTTTTGTTACCTCGTAGCAGCCGACATACGCTTATTTATTTAGTATTTTTATATTATTTTTTATTTTTTATTTTTTACCTTAGTTAAATTGTAGTCCTTTGTTGTTATTGTTGTTGGCTTTCGTTTACTTTATATTTAAATTTATATGAATGCATGCACTTATGTATGTTTATATGTAAATAGTTTTGTATAAAGTAATCAATGTTTAGTGAGTTTTATTTGTGTCTGTTCCTATTCATTATTCGCCTTTATTCGGTCGCACTGCACTGCAAATATTTATTTATTTTATAAATAATAGATTATTATGCAGTAATTTGTTTGCTTGCTTGCTGGCAAATTATGCGCTTCTATTGGTTTTTTGGTTTATTTATGTATTTTTTTTTGTTTTTATTTTTTTCATTCATTTTATGGCTTTCTATGGAGTTTCTGCATTATTATTATTTTCACTTTACCTTATTTTTTGTTTTTTTTTTTTGGTTTTTTTTTGGTTATACTATTTCCTTGCATACCTAACGGTTTTGTGATTTTATGTTCAAACTACTGCTGGTTGTCGTTCATTGAAAATTCTCGCTAAGGATTTTTATTATTTGTGGCTGTTGGTACTTCAAATTCTCTTTTACAGCGCGGCAACTGCAAGCTTTCAGCTACTTTGCCGTTTTCAATATTGTTTGTCGTTAATTGTAATATGCATTGGCTTTGCAGGATTTACAACATTTCTCTTGGTAACGATGCAATCGACACAATCCCATCGAACGTACGTTACGGCAATAACGTGAAGTATCCTTGCATTGACCAAGTACTGAAGAAAAGTGGAAGAAAAAGAAGAAATAAATTGTGTAGTTCATTAAAGAAATATATAAAGTTCTGAAGTATGCAGTAATGAGCTATTTTATCTTAATTTTTTTTTTCATCGAATTTCTATTAAATGCGGCATAAAGTTAGTCTAGGTAATGCAAAAAAGCGCTTTAAAATTAAGTAAGAGTGACCCAAGCTAATGCACTAAGAACATTATAGGCCATTCGATTTTCAATCTTAGCTGCTCGTGGAAAGCACTGATGGGATACAAAACTTTTATTATGTCCTATGCACCTCTTCTTTCAGTATAGATTTATATGCCGAAGAGAATCTTACGTTGGATGATCTAGCGAAGTTTGAAAATATTGCTGGAAATGTTAACATTTTTGATTTCATATTTTCTGCTTTAGCACAAAACCGTAATGAGGAAATTTGCCTTTATTTTAGCAAATAATTATTAGTTTGCAAAAACGATTTGCTCAACGTTTCAGACAGCAATAAAAAGAGTTTGCGGATCAAGGTGTTGACTTCGCCCTTCGATTGCTTGTGCTAGTTGTATGTTCTTCATCGAAAGAGCGTTGTAACGAAATGAAAACAAATTTGATCGTCCATTTAGTTAGCAGTTGAAAATCAAGAGCAGCTTAAAATACGAATATTAGTAAAATTTGTGGAAAAAAACATAAAATCCATTTTATAGAACAGGTAAAATTACGTACATACACACAAACTTGTTTTATCAAGGTTCCAAAGTACTTATTCTCTTGAGAGATACTTTAAATTGTCGCTTTTGTAAACAGCATCTGTATCTATTATTAGAGGTGTGACAGGGGCTAAATAAAATAAAAGTTCAATCGGACCTCTTACGTGGAAACGAACAACAAATAAGGTCAGTACTTAGATCTGGAAAGAGGAAGACAAAATAAAAAAGTAAGAGACCAAAGCTTGAAAAGCTGGCCGATGAAGGTAACGCTCGGAAACTGTACGAAAAGATACGGCGACTTACTGAAGGTTTCAATACCAGAACAAACTCTTGTAGGACCCACAGAGGTGATCTTGTGACTGTTACCCAGAGTATACTGAATTTATGGTGAGCAAAACGGAAAACTCGGAGATGATGAAACCGAAACCCTAATCGACGACGATGGAAAAAACGTTCTATTACTCAACAATGACGAGGTTCGAAGAGTGTTTGAAAATTTAAAGAACAAAAATGTAGCTGGAGCTGATGGTCTACAATTAGAACAATTCAAATATGGCGTGTAAGCGCTGACAAGGTGCATGCTTCAGCTTCCTTGCAGAGTATGATCGGACGATTCTTGCAAGACAATTGTAGCTTAAATTTGCTCTGTCCAATCCACCAATTCCGCCAATTAAACGAGGTTTCAGACAAGATGCTTCTTTGTTGTCTGATCTTTTCAATGTGATGTTGGAGAAAAGAATACGAGCTGCAGAGCTAAATAGAGAAGGTATAATCTACTATAAGTGCGTACAACTGCTGGTATATGTTGATGGCATTGACATTATTGTTCTCAACAACCGCAGACTAGATATATTTAGATAGATAGTGTATGGATTTGATAGTGAACGAGGGCAAGACGAAATATCTCTTGTCAACAAGCGAACAGTCACCACCTTTCCGACTCTACTCCCCGGCATTGTTGATAGTCTTAAATTCGAGGTCGTAGATAATTTCGTCTATCTATATAGGAGCCCGTGTAAACACCCATAATAATGTCAACTTTGAAATCCAACGCAGAATCACTCTTGTCAACCGGTGCACTCATCATACATACCATCCATCGTCCTACTGTCCACGTTTCTGGATGATGTCGAAATCCGATGAGTCGGTCTAAGATGTCTTTTAGAGAAAATTTTGTGAACGATTTATGGTCATTTGCGCATTGGCAACAGCGAATGCTGCAGAGGATGGAGCAATGAGCTGTACAAGTTACACGATGGCACTGATGTAGATACAGCGGCTACGCTGGCTTGGTCATGTCGTCCGAAGGAATGAAAGCGCTACAGCTTTAGAAGTATACATCGCGGTATCCGCCGGTGGAAGCAAAGAGAGAGGGAGATCAGCTGGAGTGTTACCTAATTTCACTTGGTATTTTCAACTGGTGGCAAACAGCGTGAAGAAGGTACAAATGGTGCGCTATTAACAATGGGCTGAAGAAGAAAAAGTCGCTAATCAAATAACGAAGAAGTATAGACTATGCAGACTTACGATAAGACGGTGCCAGGAGTTCTCGAAAGAAGGACTGTGTGAATATTTTAGACAACGATGAGCTGTAGACACTTCAAATCGGAAAGTATTCGATGAACTACCCGAGTGACTTCAATTGCTGGTGATTGACAACTAATTAGTTTGCTGGGATATAATTGTGTTCAGCATCGCCAAATTAAGACGAAGGCGGTCTTCTAACAAATTTTTAGGTTTGCAAAAGGTTTCAAATAAACATTGTAGTGTGGAAGGTGCTGGACCAATAGACATAAGATGGTATAAGTGTTGTTAAGTTTCATTGCTTGTTTGGCTTTTATTATGTAGAAGTAAGTTGTTTACCTGTAAATATTCCTAATTACAAAATCTAGTGGACCATACAAATCAGACAGAGCCATGTTTAAGATCTCATTGCCAAGACAAAAACAAAATAACTCTATGTTAACTCGATTTCCTACTCAATCAAAGAGTTCGTGTCTTAAATGCTCCCAGTGAGCTTATGTAGAAGGCAAGGAAGAGTGGGTTATTGTTTTATTTTCGTTTAAAACCCATTATTTTTACTATCACACATGACTATCATATGAAATCAGTGCATCTTTTACTGTAGTCAGAAAGAGTTTATTGAAAATTAAATTAATATCAAATCAAAATTTCTGCTCAAAGTTCAAAAAATGTAATACTCACTTTTAGTAAAGCATGGCGGACTCTTGCACACTTTCATTACGGTAGGACGCGGTTGATGGCGACAAGCATTGCCTGCTGGTCGTCGCGTGCCATACCAAACACACTGTAAAATGCGGTATTTAATACCCTGACGGCCGCACTGCGCATTGCACTGAAACAATAAAAGAAAGGAACAATAAAAAAAAAATAGAAAAATAGGTGGTGTAAGTAAATAAATATGAAACCGAGTCAGAGATCAGCGATGACTGTAAAAGCATATTGCATGCGACAATCACCGCAGTAAACGTAAACACACATACACTTACCTCGGACCACGGCTCCACACGCCAAACACCCTTACAACGTTCACTGTAGCACTCCTGCCGACTAATCGGACGCTGTGACACACTACAGGCATTCGCCGCCTCAGTGCCATTCGCATAGCGACACTTTACCTCACGCTTTTGTATAGCTGTATTGCGTCCGAAACAACGTGCACGCTGACACAATGTCCACTCGCCGGTCTCCCAACGGGCGCACTCCTCCTGACCGCATACCTCGAACGTGTCGGGAATACTTAGGCCATAATCCTCACAGTATGCGTTGTCCACCATTTCCATATCGGCTTCAACGTGTGATTCCAATGCATTATGTGTGGGCGTGTGATGACGCTGGCGTACACAAGTTACTGTGCGACGCTGTGGTGAATGGAAAAATAGATAAATGAAAAAAAAAAAAAAAAAATTATAAAATGAAATATTTGTGTAAATAATATATATATATATATTGTAGATATGTAGTATGTGTGAATGTTAGCACAAGCGTGCCAATCTGTTTGTTTGGCCAATAGATGGGTTAATTGTAAAACAAACAAGTGAAATTGTTACTCATACGCCATGGAGTGTCGGTTGCATTTTTTTCCTGTATAAATTGTTATAAATGGAAAATATGCTGAGCATTCGCTGTGGGCATCGCAATGGTTGCAACTTAGTTGAACGTGACAAAGTTGATGGACACGATGCAGTGTCGGTATTATGGAGATTCTGGGGAGCTTATGCCAGCTCGTTGGCCTTGCATTCAGCCAGAAAAACACGTATATACAAACATTGCATGCATATACTCGCATATACATATATTAAAAAAGTTACAATTCCACATTGCCTGCACATTGTCACAAAAGTCGAAGTTATTTGTCTGTGGCTGTGAAAATTTCTCAGACACTTTAAGAATAAAAATAAGTGTAGAACTTAAGCCTTGTTCCGCATCCTATATGTTTTCGGATCTTTCGAAAAAAAAAAAATTTAAAAAAAATTGCAGTCAACGTACTATGCTTTTGAAAAAAAAAAAATTAAAAACGGCCATACAAAAAAAACAAGAAATAAATATTTTTACAAAATAAACAAAATTCAAGATGTCTTCATCTGGGTTTTTAATTTTTCTTCTGACTTTAAAATATAAAAAAAATGTATTTTGAAAAATTTGTAATCGCATAAGGTTCACATGATTCTGATCTGCATGATTTCAAGGATAAAACGTATAAAGTCATAAATTTTTTAATGAAAAAAATCAGTTTCTAATTATTTTTTTCTAAAACTTATCGCAATTGACTGAGGATTCGAAAAGATAGTTTCATAGCTGTATCAGAATCCTAAATAGCTCAAAATTTAAGATGACAAAAATTTTGAGCATAGTGAGCAACATGAGGTGTGATTGTACTGAAAAAATTGTTTTTATTGTTTTCGCGATTTTCACATTTTTTTTAATAATTTTTAGACACGGTACAGAGTTTTATAGCAGGAAGTGTTATTTTCATACTAAAAGAAAAATGAAATTTTTCGAGAGAAATATTCGCATCCATATTTCAATATATGCTATAAATAATGGAAAACCATATTAGCCAAATAGCCGTCACGGTTACGCTTATAAGACCGTATCCTTTTAGTGAAATTTCAATCGCATCATCGCAAAGTGGATACTGTATACCCGCAATAGGTTCACGAATTTCATCTTTGAGGTCTTAAAGCTACGTTAGCTGGCGTTTAAAGAGGACATAAAGAGAAAAGTCGCAAGGAGTAAAATCCGAAGATCTCTGTGGCTAATTGCGATCATCTCCTCGAAAGATAAAACCGTTTCGGAAACTTTTCACTTAGAAAATCGATGGTTTCTTCTGTAGCATTTCGCGCCGCCTTGTTGAAATTTAATGTTGTACCGCTCAATACTATTCAATTACGGTCATAAGAAATTATGAACCAGCATTCGGTAGTTCAATTTATTCACCCTAACTATAGCTACAGCTATCATAAACCGCATCAAACAGTGACATGTTGAGGATTGGGTTTCGCGAAAGTTTTGCATATTGTCGTAGCTATTGGGATGTAAATCGACATTATCAGTAAAGATGATTTTTTGATGAAAATCCACATCATTTCCTTAATTTCAAGAGCCCATTCAGCAAAGACACGACGTTCTTGATGATCAGCCAGCTTATGCTCTTGTGTTAACTGAACTTAATAAGACTGAAGACCTAAGTTTTGATACAAAATACGATGTAATGACGTTTGTGGAATGCGCTATTCCTAAGAACGACGAGGAATTGACATATCTTCAAAAGCAATATTTTTAATTGCACTTCAGCGATGTACACGTGTTTCATTCCTCACATCACTGACTTGTCCCAACAACTCCATATCCCCATCTACTGTATTGCGGTACAACATAGTGCTTTACGATGACAAAAAATTGATTTAATTTTACAAACCGTCCCTGACAGATTCTCAACATTTTTAAAGTGAATTTGAATCATTGCAATGTATTTTCGAAGCATGTTTCGTTTCATTTTTATAACTGACAAAGTTTTTACTTGTAAAATATCAAAAAATACAGCTTTAAATGACATTGGTCAGAAACTTTTCTTTTATATATGTTTTAAGCAGCTCACAGCTTCAGGTTTGGATGTAGTCTACAAATACGCTACAGACAGAGCTAAAAGGAGAAGGCGAACCCGATATAGTTGTGCTTAGGCTTTGAGGCGTATCACAAACAATTGTAATAAACCTAAAATGAGGGTCCCATTTTTTTTAACGATGACGCTTGTAAACGTATAAAGAATTACGATTTGAGCGTAGGCAACAGGATTGTCCACTTTTTCGATTGGAAAAAACCACTCCCAATTTGGTTTATATTCTTTTATGATTGACATTACTAACGTCAAAGAAATTTACCGCATCAAAAAAGCGTAAACTTAGTTTTGGATTTATTGTGGGTGAGAGATTTTTTACCATTGCAATCTGCTTCAACGCGAAGCTCTTTAACTTAATATCAATGGTTCGACGAGGTATCTTCGGCAAATAAAAATTAGAATTGTCTTTAAGATGCCTGAAATTCAAATGTTATGCATTTTAGAGATTTTAATTGGGAAAGGTTAGTACTACACCTGCCACTTTTTGAAACACTTAAAGCAAAGCTGTCCTCTGAATGAAAAACACAAAGCCAGATCGATCATGTTGTGATAGACTGAAGACATGTATCCTGTGTATCAAAGAACGTCCGTCAACAAATACAAGGCAAGTTCGACGTCGAAAAACTGTAATCACAACAGGCTTCCTAGCGGTTTATACTCAATTTGCATTCATGCTCCCTTAGAGAACTCTCGGTATACGAGAAGTGTGGAATGAAATTTCAAGCTCTCTACGTACAGCTGTAAATACAACTATTGGAGCTTTGAGAAGCTATCCAACCAGGGTAATGCTCGAAAATTCTATGAGAAAATACGATGACCTACAGAAGGTTTCAAGACCGGAGCAAACTCTTGCAGGACACAAAGAGAGGGATCTAGCCACCAATGCACAGAGTATATTGAATTTATGGAAGAAACAATTCTCCAACTTGTTGAATAGCAGTAAAAATGGAATATCCGGAGATGGGGAACCCAAAACACCATTCCGTCACGAAGGGAAAGACGTTCCATTACCTGACCCTGAACAAGTTCGAATAGTAATCGCCCGCTTTAAAAACAACAAAGCGGCTAGAGCTGACGTCCTATCGACAGGACATGGCGGTGAAAAGCTGACAAGGTGGATTCACCAGCTACTTTGCAGAATTTGTTTGGACGAAAGCATGCAAGCAGCGTTTTGGGTGAAAGACTAAAGTCCACCGTCGACAAACTGATTAAACCTCATCAGTTGATATTCACCATGAGCCAAATCGAGAAGATCGACATCACCACCTCTTTGCCGATTTGGCGTTTGTCGATGACATTGATATCATAGGCCTTAACAACCGCGCCGTTAGGTCTGCTTTCTCCAGGCTTAATAGAGAAGCGAAGCAAATGGATCTAGTAGTGAACGAGGCATCGCATTCACGACTTGGCTCTCACGTCATTGTTGACAGTCATAACATTGAAGTCGAATATAATTTTGTCTATCTAGGAACCACTATTAACACCAACACCAATGTCAGCCTGGAAGTCCAACGCAGAATCGCACTTTCCAACAGGTGCTACTTTGAACTGAGTAGGTAATTGAAAAGTAAAGTCCTCTCCCGACGAACGAAACCCAAGCTCTACAAGTTCCCATCGTTCCCGTCCTGCTATATGGTGAGGAGGCATGGACGTTGACAACATCTGATGAGTCGCCGTTAGCTGTTTTCGAGAGGAAGGTTTTGCGTAAGATTTATGTTTTTCTGCCAGTTAGGAACGGCGAATACCGCAGCCGATGAAATTATGAGCTGTATGAGATATACGGCGACATTAACATATTACAGCGAACAGCAGCTATGCTGTCTAGATCATGTTCTCCAGATGGGTAAAAATACTCCAGCTTTGAAAGTATTCGATGCAGTACCCGTCCGTGGAAGCAGAGGAAGAGGAATATCTCCACCCTGTTAGAAAGAACAGGTAGAGAGGGACTTGGCCCTACTTTGTATCTTCAATCAGCGCCAAGTAGCGAGAATAATGAATGTATGGCGCAATGTTATAAATTCGACTTAAATCGATAAAAAGTAAATATAATAGGAAATCTTAGAAAAAAATAAGATTAATTTTTTTACATTTTTTATTTCGGATTTAGGTATTCAACAAAATTTTTAGAATCTTAATTTCGTTATCCTAAGTTCACGTTTCTGTAGAAAGCGCTTAAATTCGATTGCTTGATTTCTCTCCAAATGCCTCACTGTTCCATCTTAACTTACTAAAGTCATTGAAAATATATTTTGCAACAAATATGCACACACATACACACTTACCCTCAAACCAGCGCCACCTGCCATACCGCACTTCTCCGAACACTCCGACCAGTCACTGATGCGCCATTCGTACGTGACATGATTGCTGGGTGTCGCTGGTGTAATCACCACCTCCGCATCACCCTGCTTTTGCCATCTGGCATGCGGTGAATGTGGTGAATCCTCGTCATGTGTTGCGCCAAAGGCATTGCCAACTGTTGTCTGCAATGTTGTTGTTGTTGCTGTTGCTATGTTTGGTATGACGCTTATATGGTCCGTTGCTTGCTGATGGTCATGCCACTCATTGCTGCTGCCGCCGCCGCCGTCACTGTTGTTATCCTCAACTGCTGTGAGCGATGATGAGGTGAATCCATCCGCCGCTGCTGCTGCTGACGCAGTTTGCGCTAGTAGATCTGTACTGTCGATTTGCGGTCGCACGGGCTCGTCCTGTTCGAAATTTTCCAAATCGATGCCAAATTGTAGACCCTTATCGTACAGCATATGATGTCCTCTCGAATTGCCAAATTTCTGAAAAGGCCACAAATGCTGCGGTGGCGATTGTGTGATGTGTTGGATGTTGGTTGTTGGGAGAAGAGAAAGAGAGCAGAAAATGGAAAATCGGATTAGTAAAGTGAGCGGCTTAAAAGATGCACGTTCCTTTGTGTTTTCTCTACTTTTTTTTTGCGAATTTTTTGTTTTTTTCTTTTTGGTAGTAAGGCATGCAGGCAGAACAAAACAGCGGCAAATCGCCAAAAGCTGAATTGAGGCTACAGAGGCATAGCAGTAGTGGTAAAGAGCCGTTAAGCTATAAAGTGTACTCGTACATGAGGCATGCAACACGTTCTAACAGTTCGTGCATATACATACATATACATATATAAAAGTTCATGTGAGTGTGTTTGTATATATATGTGTATGAGTGTTTCAGTGTAGGCGTTTGAGATGAGCATGCAAATTTCTAAAGTCTCTAACGGACATTTTCGCCACATACATACATATGCACGAGTTACTTATGGCATGTTCATGCAAATATACATAAAGATTGTAGGCTAAATTGTGGTCGCCCGCTTTGTAAGCGATTAGTTGACACAGCAGCTGTATTGGCTTACTTATCCTCTTTTGTTTGTCACCCTTTCGTTCTAAATTTTGCCATTGCCTTATAATATCTACTCCTATACATCTTTGTATTCATCTACTAACTCTTCTGCTCTGCTACTGACCGCAATCGTTTTTCCATTACTTAAAATAGGATGCAAGTTTCTGTGGCTTTTCCCCATTCTTTTTGCCACCCATTTACAACTTTGCTCATATGTTTACAAGAGTGCCTTTTTGACACTAATTTTCGAAATTTATCGCACATAAAATGACCCTGAAAAGTCGTTAGGCCAGTTTTTGGGAATTTTCCAAAAATTTACACCATCACAATGTCTAATGGTGGCGTGATTATAGTATAGCAAAAGCAAAGTGAAATAATAAAAAGTTTATTCAGGGTAATACACTCACAAAAATTCAGATGGTGCACGAAGTATGTATTGTCTGTACAATGACCTACAATATGGCGGCGTTTTAAAAAAATAGCCGAATTTTACCCAAAATTTCGGTCGTTTTTGGCCTGCCAAAATTCGAATTTTTGCACAGATCAAAAATCGATAGGTCATTGTACGGAGAACTATATATAGAATATGTAATAAAAATTCGATAGTGCTTGGATCATTTGTTTTTGAGTAATCACTGCAGCAAATTCGGAAAATGCTGTTTCGAGAAAAACGCGTTTGAAGATAAAATGATCGTTATCACTCGTAGCTAATGAGACTCTCTAGATGCCGAGCGGTTGCTCTTTAAATTACTATAGCTCAAAAACTATTTGAGATAACGATTTAATTTTTTTTAATATGTTATTTCTAAAGGTTTAATCTACCGGAATTTAAATCGATTTCTTTGAATTTTCACACTAGGTGTGCCCCTTAAAGTACAGTGTCCTCGGATGAAAAATCTGCCGTGCACTCTGGAGGCCTGTAGGTATAAGATTGAATTTTTGTTAGCTCGACCGCTGCTAATGAAATTTAGGCCAAAAAGATTATAGGAATTGGCACCAGATACACGGAAATAATGTGCAAGGACGGGGAACTCCACACGCACGACAGTTACATAAAAAATTTATGGTGTTTCAACAGATGCTTAAGCAAGTCCCTTTCGAAAACCAAAGGTAGCTTATAAAACGATGCTTTGTTTGTATGCCTCTAAAAATATAAACTTTAATTTATGACATCGTAATAATTTTCACACTCTTTTTTAATTTCTTCTTATAATTTCTTTTCATTTTGCTCACATATCTCCTAACACTTAATACCCTCAAACTTTAGACCACTTTTTTTTATCAAACTCGTTTCGATTAGGATAAAGCGACTCATTAGTGAAAGTTTTGAAAAAAATAACATTTTTGTATCACAACATCTAACACATTTGAAAAGTCCAAAGGCTAAATGTATTGATGACGAAGTCATTGAATTAAAAATTGGCATTGAAATGAAAAAATTCGATATCAAAAGTAATATAAATTCCAAATATATTTTAAAAACAAAACAATGGCACAGCGCCGAAAATATGACGCATATATTTCATTTGTTTAAAGTAAATCGTTCGGCTATTTCAATACAGGGTTCTCCATTTTGCAGTTTCGAAAATAAAACTAAAAAAAATGTATTTAAATAATTTGTTATAATATTCCCTTTTTTGATTTTAAAGTTTTTTGGTATATATGCATTACATTATTCAAATGACGGCTTAGCGGATTTTTGCTGATTTCCATCCGTTTGAGATAAATTTCAACCACTTTTTAAACAAGTTGGTTTTCAAGTGGTCAAGAGTCAAAGGTTTAGTCACATTAAACAGTCTTCTGCATAATCTCACAATAAAGCCCTTTGGTGTAAACTTACCTGATCTCGGTCATCAAGACGAGAGATTCCGAAGCTAGGGACCATATACGCTCGTTTTGTGTAACAAGTGGCACCATCGTATTGAAACCACATATTGTACAAGTCATGAATTTCAATTATAGGCAAAATAAAAGTCGGTTACTAAGCGAGCATTACGCACCGAATTGACAGTGATGAGTCCTTGTTGTCGTTTTAAAAGAAGTAACACTCCTTCGGAAATAAAAGTGCTCAACACACTTTGGGCTCTCTTCAAGTATTTAAGGATTCTTCGAACCCCAAATCTGAAAACTTTGCTTGTCCCCCGACATATGTACAGCATTGTGAATGGTCAGCTGGCTTTAGTTCTTGTATCTGGTGGACTTTTTATGAAGTCCAAGTGTAAATAACGACATGCATTGTCATAAGAAAGTCCCAGGTCTTGAGAATGTTTATATCTGTTACCGTTTTTCAAGTTTCTCTGAAACAGAACCAACTGCTTGAGCAGTTGGATATTTTTGTACACCATAATCTCCTCTTCAAATACCAAATGTTGACATTTTTGTAGTAGGAGTTTACAAGCGATCCGTTTTCATGAATGCTTAACTTTTAACTGAAACAAAACCCGGTTGGTTTTACGGTGGAGTTCGACAGACCTCGAATTACAGTGCCGTAGTTTTAAAATATAAAACAAAAGCTCTTTATAAAAATCCATCGAATGTTCAGCTTAGAATAAACTATACCATTTGTTGGAAATGAGATGTAATGGGGTACTATATGGGGAGCTATACTTAACTCGCGCTTCCTGGAAACGTGAAAACTGCTTGTGCAAGATGTGGGAACAAACTCGTGTGGAGCCTTGGGTCACGGTCAAAAGAGAGGAAGCTTCAGTGGAGCCAGTCTGACTTATTCGGTTCAAGGGTTTGCTGAAGTCTATATGTAGCGTCTGTTCACTGAAGTTCGCGTCGATCTTGAAGCAAGCGGCTTGTTATTGTATATAATTGTGAAAAAAAAAATCCTAAACATACGCACGAGGTTGTACGCTGGGTTTGGGAACCGCCACGTAGAAACCAGCGCCAATAAAAAGGAAAACAATGCCTCGGATGAGATTAAAGCTAAATAGACAAGGTACAATCTTCTATAAGAGAGCGCAAGTACTGGTGTACGCTTCACAAAAGCCACCGATGGAAGTGAAGAAGAAATGAATGGCGTAAAAAACCGGGAAAAAACATTCAAAGAAACGTATATATATATATATATATTCGAATATATATATATATATAAGACAACGTCTTAAATTTAAAATTTTCACTTTTTTTGTTTAAAATAATTGATTTGAAATACGTTTTTATTATGAATTATACCGAATTTAACTTAATTAAAAAAAAAAAACTGAAACATAAAGATGAATTTCTTCAATAAAGCAATTCAAATTATTATGAATAAAATATTACATTCAACTAAATATTATGTGAAGGTAGTTTTTATTCGATGTTTAAGAACTTTTTTTTTGCCAAAATTTACAATACTTCAAAACTAGCCTAACTTCAACTTTAACCTGTTTCCCATGGCAAACACAGTGTGTACACTGAAAAAAAAACTATGACAGTACCCGAACATGACTTCCTGATTTCCCTCGAGTAAAAGTCATGTCGACAGTGAGCAAGTAAGTCGACAGTCAAGCAGACATTACGGCAGCCAAACTGCCAGAGCGATAGCGAGAGTGAGAGGGAGATAGAAAAAGCTGAATTTCGTGAAAATACCAAAAGGACCGGAAGAACAAGGCAAACGTAACGTGCAGTGAATTCATGCAAATTTTATGAGCTGAGCGCAGTGCTGCCGCTTTGCTGCAGTTGTATTGTGGAGCAATTATACATTTATTGAGCTCGCGCAGAGCTGCTGTTGGGAATAAAAGCATGGTATTGTCGCCAATGGGCTAACAGTCATTCGTTTGTTTTTTTTTTTTTTTCAAATATTGTTGCAGGTATTTTTAATCACTCTGAACACCAATACCGCCACTGTGTGCAGCTTATATCGAACACTGTCAATACTACAGTGCATACTACTCTATATGTATTTGCAAAATTTCGCTGTATTTCTCACATCAATGTTCAAGTTCTGTGTAAATACATCATTACTCATGCAGTTGCTAACGAAAAGGCGGCTGCCATGGAAATTAACTGCAATTGTATAATGGAAATGAGCAATCCTTTGTAATTTTTACTCCCACTTCGGTGCAAGTGCGTCGTACTTTGTGGTTCGAAAATGAGCATTAATGTGTGAAATTGCATAGGCAAATGTGTATATGTGTGTAAAGGTAAATTGCGATGGAAAATAATTGTGCAGAGAAATACACGAAACTATTTTTGCCTTTTCACAGATATGCCCAATTGGTATGGGTTTTTCTTCGCTATTTAGGCATCATTGAGTACTCACACAGCAAGTCACAACTAAATTCTTTGTTTGTTTTCGTTAGATTCACAGACTAAATATTTAGTACAAAACAATTTTTCGTTTCTGCCTTAGCTGGGTTTTGGCAAAGACTATGAAAGTCTTCGCCAAATTCCACGCATAATTTGTTTTTGCATTTTCTGTATTTTATTGCATTATTTCACAAAAAAAAATTTTTTTCTG